ACCCTGTGGGGAGGGGAAGGAAAAAGGAGTTTGTGAACTGCTCTGAGACTCCAAGTGAAGGGCAGGGTATAAATCCAATCTCTTCTTCCTTCTTCAGGCCGGCAAACTGAAGGCTTCCTTCCTCAAATTGACTCACCTCACCTTTTCTGACCTATGGCAACCCTCTAAATTATTGAGCCAGTTTGGTGTAGTGGTTAAGTGTGCGGACTCTAATCTGGGAGAACCGGGTTTGATTCCCCACTCCTCCACTTGCACCTGCTGATGTGACCTTGGGTCAGTCGCAAGCTCTGGCACAGCTGTCCTTGAAAAAGAGCAGTTTCTCTCAGAGCTCTCTCAGCCCCACCCACCTCACAGGGTGTCTGTTGTGGGGAGGGGAAGGGAACGGAGTTTGTAAGCCGCTCTGAGACTCCAAGTGAAGGGCGGGGTATAAATCCAATCTCTTTTCTCTTCTCTCTCTTCCAGGTGTCGGCCAACTGTTGGCCAAGTCTATCATCAACTGACTAGAGGTATCTGTACACAGAATGAGCAAATATATTCAGAGCGTGCGCACACAAACGCTACACGCATATCTTTGTTCGAAGAGTTCCCAGGTCAAACCACGCTCTCTCTTGGATTAGACTGCCTGCAGAACAAGATTGTAAACTGTCTGGGTGCCAGCAAGAGGTTTTTCTTTTCTTCTTTTTTTGGCTAAGCTACACCCAGGCCGTTTTGTGCCACCTAGATACCATTCTGTCTAGAGACAATGCAACTTAATCTCTTCGTTAACCCTGCAAAACCAGTCTTCCAGCAACCACAAGAAACTTCAGGCCTTTAAAACAACTTCAGCCAACTGACAGTTCTCCAAAATGGTGAAGGAGAAGAAGAAGAAGAGATTGGATTTATACCCCGCCCTTCCCTCGGAGTCTCAGAGGGGCTCAAACTCCTTTCCCTTCCCCTCGCCACAACAGACACCCTGGGAGGTGGGTGGGGCTGAGAGAGCTCTGACAGAAACTGCTCTTTTTCAAGGACAGCTCTTGTCAGAACTATGGCTTGCCCAAGGTCATCCAGCAGCTGCAATTGGAGGAGTGGGGAATCAAACCCAGTTCTCCCAGATTAGAGTCCATGCACTTAACCACGGCACCAAACTGGCTCTCAGTGCAGATTAATAAT